CACTCCCCCATCCTCATTTCACTTTCTTCATAAAAACCCCCTTTCCCCATTACTTCCTCCATACACCCTTTCCCTCCTTCATTACTTTCTTCAAACCTACTTCCTCATCACTTCCTCCCTACACCCCATCCTCATTCACTTCCTCCATACACCTTCCATTCTCATTCAATTCCCCCATACAGCCTCCATCCTCATTCACTTCCTCCATACACCCTCCATCCTCATTCACTTCCTCCATACACCCTCCATCCTCATTCACTTCCTCCATACACCCTACATCCTCATTCACTTCCTCCATAAACCCTCCTTCCTTATTCACTTCCTCCATACACCCTCCATCCTCATTCACTTACTCCATACACCCTGCATTCTCATTCACTTCCTCGACAGAGCCTACATCCTCATTCACTCCCTCCATAAACCTTCCATCCTCATTCTCTTCCTCCATAAACCCTCCTTCCTTATTCACTTCCTCCATACACCCTCCATCCTCATTCACTTACTCCATACACCCTCCATCCTCATTCACTTCCTATATACACCCTCCATCCTCATTCACTTCTTTCATACACCCTCCATCATCAATCACTTCCTCCATATTCCCTCTATACTCATTCACTTCCTCCACACACACTCCATCCACATTCACTTCCTCCATACACCCTCCTTCCTCATTCACTTCCTCCATACACCCTCCATCCTCATTCATATCCTCCATGCGCCCTCCATCCTCATTCACTTATACCCTACATCCTCCATCATCATTCACTTCCTCCAAACACCCTCCATCCTTTTTCACTTCCTCGATAAACACTCCTTCCTCATTCACATGCTGTACACACATTCCTCTTTCATTCACTTCCTCCATACACCCTCCATCCTCACTCACATCCACAATACACCCTTCATCCTCATTCACTTCCTCCATACACCCTCCATCCTCATTCACTTCCTCATGCACCTTCAATCCTCATTCACTTCCTCCATACACCCTCCATCCTCATTCACTTCCACCATACACCCTCCATCCTCATTCATTTACTCAATACACCCTCCACCTCATTCACTTCCTCCATACACCCTCCACACATTCACTTCCTGCATGCACCCTCCATCCTCATTCCTCACCATACACTCCCATCCTCATCACTTTTTTCCGAACATCCTCCGTCCTAATTCACTTCCCCATACACCGTCCATCCTCTTTCACTTTTCCCCCATACACCCCCTATCCTTAATTCACTTTCCCCCTTAAACCGTCCATCATAATTCACTTCCTCCATCACCCTTTCCTTCCTCATTCACTTCCTCCATACACTCTCCAACCTCATTCACTTCCTCCGTACACATCCGTCCTCATTCACTTCCACCATACACTTTCCACCATCTTTCACTTACTCATACACTCTCCATCCTCCTCACTTCCTCTATACACCCCCATCCTCATTCACTCCTCCATAAACTCTCCATCATCAATCACTTCCTCCATACACCCTCCTTCCTCATTCACTTTCCCCCTTTCACTCTCCATCATCATTCACTCCTCCATTCACCCTCCATTTCCCTTTTACAGTTCCTCAAAACACCCTCCGTCCTCATTCACTTCCTCCTACATCCTCAACTCATTCACATCCTCCATACACCCTCCATCCTCCATTCACATGCCCAAACGCCCTCCATCCTCATTCACTTTCCTCCATACACCCTCCATCCTCTTTCACTTCTTCGATAAACACTCCTTCCTCATTCACATTTCGCAATACACCCTCCTCCCTCATTCACTTCCTCCATACACCCACCCATCCTCATTTACTTCCTCCATACACCCTCCATCCTCATCCACTTTCCTCCATACACCCTCAAACCTCATCCACTCCTCCATACACCCTCCATCCTCATCCACTTCCTCCAACACCCTCAATCCTCATTCACTTCCTCCAACACCCTCCATCCTCATCCACTTCCTCCATACACCCTCCATCCTCATCCACTTCCTCCTACCCCTCAATCCTCATTCACTTCCTCCATACACCCTCCTCCCTCATTCACTTCCTCCATACACCCACCATCCTCATTTACTTCTTCCATACACCCTCCCTCCTCATCCACTTCCTCCATACACCCTCAAACCTCATTCACTTCCTCCATACACCCACCATCCTCATTTTACTTTCCCCCATACACCCTCCATTCCTCATCCACTTCCCCCCATACACCCTCAAACCTCATTCACTTCCTCCATACACCCACCATCCTCATTTTCTTCCCCATACACCCTCCATCCTCATCCACTTCCCCATACACCCTCAATCCTCATTCACTTCCTCCATACACCCTACATCCTCATTCACTTCCTCCATACACCCTCCATCCTCATCCACTTCCTCCATACACCCTCAATCCTCATTCACGTCCTCCATACACCCTCCATCCCCATTCAATTCCTCCCTACACCCCAAACCTCATTCACCTCCTCCATACACCCTCCATCCTCATTTTCTTCCTCCATACACCCTCCATCCTCATCCACTTCCTCCCTACACCCTCAATCCTCATTTATTCCCCATACACCCTACATCCTCCCTTCACTTCCTCCATACACCCTCCATCCTCATCCCCCTTCCTCCATACACCCTCAATCCTCATTCACTTCTCCATACACCCTACATCCTCATTCACTTCCTCCATACACCCCCATCCTCATCCACTTCCTCCAACACCCACAATCCTCATTCACTTCCTCCATACACCCTCCATCCTCATCCACTTCCTCCAAACACCCCAATCCTCATTCACTTCCCTCCATACACCCTACATCCTCATTCACTTCCTCCATACACCCTCCATCCTCATCCACTTCCTCCATACACCCTCAATCCTCATTCACTTCCTCCATACACCCTACATCCTCATTCACCCTCCATACCCCTCCATCCTCATCCACTTCCTCCATACACCCTCAATCCTCATTCACTTTCCTCCATACACCCTCCATCCTCATTCAATTCCCCCCCATACACCCTCAATCCTCATTCACTTTCCCCCATACCCCTCAATCCCCATTCACTTCCTCCATACACC